ATTTTATGCGACACTTGAGCAGTGGCCTTGGGAGCTGGAGGGTTATGAGGACTCTGAAGCACAAAATGACTCCACAGCTGATGCTTCGAGCTCAATCCAACCCCCGATTACTCTTCTTCGGCACCCCCCGCTTGCTGTCTTTTGTAATCGTCTACTCACGGCTCTGAATGGCCTGAAAACATGCTGTCCAATCGGACTTAAACAAGGGTCAGTGTCTCATTTCTACTTACAACTCCGCGGCTACTGTGGTGTAATATGCCCGCAGTTTGAATTTACCGGGTTTTTTTTTAACTGCTTCCATCGTGCGAAGAGATGTTATTACGAATTCTGCTATTTGCCTGCATAGATGATGCCGGATTAATGTCTGTACCTACTTTAAGATGGCCAGTACTCTTGACAGCAAGGCTGATCTGTTTGCGAATCACATAACCGCTCTGCAGTGTGCCAGCTTCGTATGTGCAAATTTGAAATTCGACGTTTACTATTGTCCATGTTGATTTTCCCCCTCTGCGTCAGTAGCCAAATACCTAAACCAGCCAGACTGTCAAGAAGTCTGGGTGCATTTTTATTCACAGTTCACGTCCTCTATGCTTATTTCCGAAGGCGAAGGTGATGAGCACTACGCACATGGGGCTTTTTTTCTTCACGGTCCTTTTAAAAAAATTGAATATTGAGAAGACGACTCGATCGCTGGGACAATACTTTTACTATTCCGACGTTTCGAGATCCGTCGCGGCTTCGTCATCAGAGACATAGTAAGATAGCAGTAGCAGATACAGGTAGCGTATGCAAAGGACTTTGCAGTATTAATAGGATAGAGTAATTACCGCAAACCTACAACGACAGTTAACGCTAATTGCCTCCTTGCGTGTTGATAGTTTGTTAAATAGCATGTGGGCTCTGACCTGCTAAACTTTCATCACGCGTGGTGGATTCGGGCGTGATTAATTCTTGGCCATCTGGCCCTCCGATGTTGGCGTAGGATGACGCGGTGGCCTTTTCGTTCCCCAAGTAACGACTTGCTTTGGCCAAATTGAGTCTCAGCACCGAATCTGGATTGCACAAATCGTTGCACTCGTTTATGGATTTCTTGGGACCGATGACCGATGAAGTGTGATGACCCAGATATACGCGTATCTCAGAGTCCTAACGTTTGCCAGTAATGAAGATTGGTTAATTGAAGTTGGCGAGTAACATAATTGTTTCGTTGAGTAAAAAAGTGGAAGTGTCCGCAAATTCGCCAGACGAAACAAGCCAGGGTTGGTGAATCCTGGGCGAGATCGGGGGAAGAGTCCACAAAGTTGCCAGACGAAACAAGCCAGGGTTAGTGAATCCTGGGTGAGATCGGAGTACACGGGACTCATATGTTCGCTTGTATTGTCAATTTACATATTATTACGGTTAAGAAGTACTGAACTGCGTTACATTTTTGAATCAATTCAGGGAAGCGCAGAATTTTGCCAGTACTGCGCACTACATGCGACTTATTCATTTCTACCATTAGTATGGCATAATATGCTTGAAAAAAAGCTGTCCGAGATTGATAAATTTACGCGGCCTACTCGTTGGGCGAAGAAGCCTCTACTAACGCCTGACCTTATCTGACGAGAAGTAGTGTTTTACCTTCAGATTCATAAACCCACCCCCTCCCCCCCAATATAGGTGGCCTTGCGCCACATTTTAAGGGAGATTAGGGTCAAGATTAGGAAACTGGAGTAAATTGTGCTCCTAAACCTTTTTTAGCGAAAAGCCGTCTGTATTACTAGGGAATTTCCTTTCCCCGTGTCCTACTCAGAAGAATTTGCTAACCGAAACGGCATGCATTTGGTCGTCATATCAGGATTGTATTGAGTCGAGTGGTCTCAGTCTTGGACAACAGTAGTTTATGTAGCGCACCTCATATATCCCCAGTCCCAGCATTTTGTCCTACGAAAACGGTGGTTATAGGGTTTTTTGGGTGGGGAATTGGGACAGGCAGTGAAATATACTTTAATAACTGCTGTATGCTTTTCTATTTTGTTTTATTTAGAGATGTTGTTGACTTATATCTGTAGATTTTCCTAATCTGTATTATCGTTTAATATATTGCGGAAAAACCCGACTATCAAAATGCAGGTGTCTTGACATTCTTCAACTTACCTAAGGTCCAACTTACCGTTCTGGATTTAGATTAGTACAATCCGCGGCGCGAAGCCCCGCGCACACCTTCAATTTACGTGCGGAACAACTTACTCCCAGCGGCCGCGGCAAATAAATTCGAATACATTTTTTTTTCACTTGACACTTCTACAAATTTCCTTCCCTGCCTATCCTATTTCCACACCCCCAAAAATCTATAACCACCGTTTCGGTAGAAAAAATGCTGGGACTAGGGGTATATGAGGTTCACTACTTAAACTTTTTTTGCCCAGTCTTGTCCCTTGGATTGAACAGAAAGGACGTCCCAGGATTAAGCTGACCAACTTTTGCTTGCCCCCCTTAAGAAGATTTCAACCTTATCTAGATAGCTGCGAGAATTCGATAGTGATACCTGTTCGAAAATTCACGAGTTCAACTCAATTTTCCCAAGATCTTCTTTCTTTTCATCATATCATTTCGGAATGCAACTTACTTCACTTTTCCAATTTGATAGTTTTCCAAATAATCTATAATTATTAGGGATTTGTCAGATTTCAATAATTCCAGTTGATTCAGTTGTGAAAAACTCGCGGCCTCGGTGGAAGTTGAACCCACCCAAGTGTGATTAAATTCACGGCTCACGGTGAGCCTCATACCTCAATGGTAGAGC